GATTCACCCTCGCGTCCCACTGACGCCGCCATCCCATGGCTCAGGGCTTGGTGGGGAGGTATGGCCAAACGGCTAGCTGATGTCAGCCCCCTTACCATCCGTAAAGAAGTCGATAACTTCTTGTTTGCCAGATTGAGTGTCCTACGACACTTTTGCGATGTGATGGCTGAAAGCCAGACCTGCAGAAAGAATATGCAGATGAAAATGGAGAGGCAAAGTGGAAAGCTTTAGGGTAGGAGGTCTAGTTTTATTAAACTCTAAAAGCCTGCCTACACCTGCATCCTCTGCTATCTTCCGGATAAAGCTTCATCCACTGTTTATTGGACATTTTTAGTTTGTGGCCAACCGGGGCCTAGCGTATACGTTAAACCTTTCGAAACGGATGCGCACCCACCCGGTGTTTTATGTGAGTTTGATCAAGCCGATCGGGATCTGGCGCATGTGATCGCGGGAGCGTTGGCGCCAGAGCGGAATCCAAGGGCTTATGGGCACCCAGAAATTAAACCAGCAACTGGTTCTGAGCAAGGAGTGCAACAACCTCCATCTCCGATAGAGCCAAGCGCTCCACCGTTGTCTGCAACGATACATTCGCCTGCTCCACGGCTAGAAGTCGCTCCGACAGAGCGCGGTTGTCTTCAAGGCGAGGCAGCCGGTGCTTGACGCGCTTCAAATCATCAAGGGCGTCTGCGCAGCAATATGCTGCTTCAACATGACGCTCAGCGGAGCTCCAATCACGAAGGATCTCATTCTCAAGGGCTCGAAGAACATCACGAGTCACCGGACAGCGGTCACCCGGTCGTCACCGCCCGCCATCGACTTTTCTCGATGAGAAAGGTGACGTCCAATATCACATAGAACGTCTAGTAAGACGACGTCGTCATATGGTCAGACCTAATATCTGGTGAAGTGGCGAGGATATCCTGACTCCAGAAAGTTGTGGGAGGTTGAGACGCCACTTCGGCAAGATTGCCCAGACACCGTGGAGGCGTTTGACCAGAAAGATCAGAACGCCTCGCGCTTCTTGGCAATAGCCAGGGAAGGAGAAGGGCCATGAGCTGAGCTCAAGCTGTTGCACTGAGCTCTTGCGGTCGCAGACACAGAGCTCGCGGGAGCGTTAGGGATTGACCTATACGTCGCAGGGCGACAATCCGAAGGGAGTCGACGGCGTGCTTTATGTTTGGCAAACTCAAATCGGAGGTGTCACTCCACACGCACGGCTACGTCCTTGTAACCCAGCTGTAAGGTATACAGTGAGACAAGTTTGCAGTGCAGTTGCACTCACCGCTCAATGAGCGCTTCGTCATTTGTAGCGCTTACGCCAGGGGCGGGAACTACAGGTATCGTCCGCATTGCGGGTACACGAGGGCCACCTCGTTGAGCACGCAGACGAGTGCGATAAGCTTCCAACGGAAATACTTGTGGGACCACAAAACGAGCTCGAAGAGCTTACAGTTTGGCAAGCTCATCCTCCGTAATGGCCGAGGCCCGATGATGTGAAGGCGGACCGATCGAGTTACCATGTACTTCGCTTTCACAGCGGGATTCGCCGGGCGGAATCCATATTCACACGAGGGTCGATGACCGGCCATCCACGCCTTACGGGCAGCTTCCAGCTGCCGCTTCTGTGCCTCATCGAGGTCATTGGTGATCACACCACGTTCCTCGTTCGACGAGAAGTCAGGAAACGGACATGGGGTCCGCAAGGCGCGAGCAGGGTTCGTCTCACGACGCTAGTGTGGCTCGCCCTCCTCGTCATTCCATTCGGGAAAAAGAGTGTCAGACTCGTAGTCGACCACCTTCACATA